TCTCTCTACCGTTGAGATGATTGGTATAAATGGCTCAGTATTGCGAAAAAGTCAGGAGTACACAATGGTTGGCGAGTGGTCATAGACGACGTCTTCAGCGGCGTGTTACAGTGGTACTGTATTTGGTGGAAATAGAGTCGTTTCTTTGTGCTCTGCGTCTTCGACTTCAAAGGCTAGAGAGTAGCGGAGGATCGTCAACGGTTGAAAAAGCTTCAGTCTGATCGGTGGGAAGAAACAGTTCCGAGTCAGAAGGGAAATATCTATTGATCGATCCAATAGTAAGTCTAGGGGGACGGAGGAAGTACCAGGGTGAGTCAACCACTGATCCCTTGCTAAACGAAGCTATCAGTATAGAATGCTGGAAGTCGACAGCGGTTTCTTCTATTTTTGCCTGCTGAGCAAAGTATATCTGCGGGAAAATGAAGACGATCCTCCAAAGGCAGATCCCTGTATCCCTCCATTCCAACCCTTTACTCCCTTATTCAAGAGGAACATCTTCAGTGACAAGTGCTGACACTACCACACCTGCAGGGTGCCCGGATCAAACTAAGGACCTCGCACAGGTTAAGTGGTCTCACCAGGGTTGGTCAGTTCGTCCAATACTCGTCAAGGAGACGAAAAGCACTGACTGGTACATCGGCTGGTCACTAGATAACATTGTATGGGCCACATACCCATTCAAAATGTTACTAAGTTCTGAATATTAATCGAATGTGGTGCGCATTCCAGAATGGGATTGATCAACGGCAAGAGCTTTACCCTCTGAACTTTCATAGAAAATTTTTGATGGGAAGGAACTTGGCACGTTCTGTCATGAGGTGGTTTTGTGGTGTAACAATTTGTCAGATATAAGAACTCCATCGCGCCATTTTTTGAAACTACTCAGTCATAAGAACTCAACCAGTAGCAGGACCAAAGGCTTCAGATGGCGCAGAGACTATGACGCCTTGAGAAAGATAACCAGTGCGATACTTACAGTACTTAGAAGATAAGGTGAAAACAGAGGAAGGTTCACTTCTGCACAGATCGAGATTCACCTTATGGCAGGTAGTCATCTAGTCAGCGACAATCGGCAAAGGCCGTTTATAGTCAGCTACGCAACTCCTGCTTCACCTGACAAGCGACATGGAGTGAGCAAAGCGTCCGACTTCTTATTCGACCAAAAGCACGTGCTAGCCATTATGAATAGAATCTCCCTCTAGTTATAGCTTACAATTTATAGCCATTAACTGGACTGCACCAGAGATAACACAAAGAGACCATCAGAATTTGCATAGAAAAAAAAAGAAATAGCCCTTGTTCTTGGTCGTTGGCGTGATTCGTATAAGCAGCAGAATGGATCAAGAGTCACAGTGGCCATCAAGTTGACTCTGCGGTTTCGGACGACGTCTTCGGGGGCGTGTACAGTGGTACTGTATTCGTTGAAAATGGAGTCGGGGAGGGTAGCATTTCTTTGTGCTCTGCGTCTTCGACTTTAAAGGCTAGAGCGCAGCGGAGGAACGGCCAACGTTTGAAAAAGCTACAGTTTGAAAAAGCTTCAGTTTGAACGGAGGGAAGAATCAAATCTGAGTCAGAAGGGAAATGTCGATTGATCGATCTGATGGTGTTTCCGGGGAAGGCCCCAGGAGAACCACCGACCTCTTGTGAACGGTTTTAAATGCTAAGAGGAAATCAGCAACGGTTTCTATTTTACCTCTGAGAGAACTATTTCAGCGAGAATACGCAGGCGAGAAGCCAAATATGAGTCCTCTGATGTCCTCCACTCCTGTTTATCCTTTTACTCCCTCATTCAGGCGAAGTTAGTGTAGTGGCAAGTGGCGCATGCATGGTGATCGGATCTCACACATGTCAACTAATCCCTTAAGAGCAGTTATTCGATCCCAGACTCGTCAAGGAGAATAAAATCACAGACCTGCACACCGGCTGGTCACTATAAGTCTTTGTGTAGTTCTCAAAAGCATTCAAAACGCCACTACAATTCTGAATGAAAGTTGAACTCGGGGCTCATCCCAAAAATAGGATTGACCGACGCCAAAAACTTTATTTTTCAGAATCTTTTGTTGCTCTTATGCCAGGTTAAGGACGAAGTTTTTTTTTCGTTAATTAAGAAGAAAACCAATGGGCTCCCTGACAACCACGATCGTTCCCAACGCATAAACAACTCGTCCCCAATGCCGCTACATTTATTGGCTGAAGACAGCTGCATGATATTTCGTCAGACTAATTCGATCAGTAGAGTGCAGTAGGCAGTCGCGCCGTGTCGCACGTACGAGAAGTATAGGAGCACTTTCTATCGGGCTGTGTAGCGCGGCTCAAGACACATGTACTTTCTTCACATGATCGCATGTGCTCCCATCACTTTCGGCCCATTCGATTCCTCGGCGCCGAAGCATTTCAGAGTATTCAGTTTTTCTCTTCCAAATAGATACTTATGTTATTTGGACCTTCAAAACATTTCCGGGAACGTGTTCTAGAAAAGATCCCAACCCATAAGGGAGATTACGCAATGTCGTCGACCTCGTCATAGTATTAATCTGATACATAATTTTTTGCTCAGTGAGGTTTCCACTGTGTGGAGGTCTGGTCCGCGAATGTTCACTTTTTTCTCCCACGTTCATTCCCTTCCAACCAGCTTCAACTGGGCATTTTCGGAAACATCTGTTTGTGGTGTTTTTGAGAGTTCCCCAATTTTTCACCTCCGAGATTCTGTCCAATGTACAGGATNTTCCCATAACATCATCTTGCCGCTATCGAACCCCACGATACCTCGAACTTTAAAGTTATATGAAGAATCCAGGGCACGACCCAAACGTCACACTGCTCCACATTTTTTGCTATTTCAAGCCTGATGAGCAGAGAACGCCTTCAAGACGTAAACATCTTGACGCCTTCGTTTTGTCCCAACGTTGTGCCTTACCACTGAAAACATCGCAATTGAAATGTCGAAACCGTGGTTGTACGGTAGCCGAAGTCGCACTTGAGATAAACCAGACTCGCGCCAAGACATTGATTGGCGCGGACTTTGTGCGATTATTGACGTCGTCTGCGTGGGTGCGGGATGCTTTGAAAGCCCAGCTCCATTCTCACGTCTCCATTCTTCTCCGTTTCTCCGTCGCATCGGTCTGAGCGCTCTTTCTTTTTATTGATTCGTGATTCTAAGATGTAATGCGGTTCATCTCCACTGTAAATCATTTCTTGTAATGTAGGCTGTTCACATTCCAGCGAATGAGCGTCCTATTGATTGCGATTGCACTCTGAGCGCATATTGCAATAACAGGCCCAGACGCTTTCGCAACTGGGAGGGCTTTAGTGTCTCACGGGTTTGCCCTGAGAGACACCCGGATTGAGGCTTTCTGCTGATTCCTTAGTCAATTCTTATCTCCTGATATGTGATCCGTTTCGTCAGTATGGAATTGACCAACATATTTTTATTGAGCTTCTTTACTGTCCTCCACTTAATTTGGCATCAAACATTATGCATAGAAGACGTGGGAGAGTGTGGTTTTCAGCTTGTGATGGTTTTTCATATTGGTTAGAAAACGTAGCAGTATTCTTCCTCTCAATCCCTTGTCCAATGTCTCAGCAGAAAGGTCCTGTTATTTTGTGATTTTGGTAGGCTTTTTGGTGCTAAGTGAGTTGGGAGGGGCCAAGCGGCGGCGCGGCGCCTTTTCATGTCTGCGCCCTCTGTAGCGAGATAGTAGTAGTGCGCCTGGGTCTGGGAAGGGATGGTGAGGTTATACTGAAGTCTTTCGTGATTCAAAACAAATTACCTCTTGACACATGTTATATGCTTGCATACTATGGATACTCTTCTTCTGAGCCGATAAAACCCTATTTTTAAGGAGGGGAGGGGCTCCGGGGTGGGTGAGATGGTTATCTCGTGCAAAAAGCTGAGATCAGATAAAAGCTGAATGTCCAATTGGCTCACCCACCCCGGAGCCCCTTCCCTTCCTTAAATTGGGTGAAAACACGCAGTTATAACATAAAAGAACTTTGAAACGTCCCTAATCACCATTACGGACTCGCCTATTCTTGCTTGTCTACTATCTCACCGGAGAGGGCACAGACATGAAAAGGCNCCCCCCCCCCCCCAACTCCCTTAGCACCGGCTTTTTTAGTCATTGAGATCACACTAGATATTGAGAGGTCGTGAATTCTCTTTCACGCACTCTAATGAATTACATAGGCATTGATCGAACATACGTGACGTGTGGAGTCGCGAATCCCCGGCGTGCTGTATTGCTAGCTGAGAAAATATCCAGCGGGTGCTATGGTTGTGCTAAATTGGTTGACACCCACTTGTGCCAGTAGCGGATCTCACGACTCTGTCATGTTTCCATGTTTTAAGACGATCTTGTGACAAAAAAATTTCGGAGGAAATCAGTGTTAAACCCCATTTTATCCAGGCGTTAGTTGCGGCATCATTTTTCCGATGTCAGTCTCTATGTCTGCCGTCTCATCAGACCACATATTAACATTCGCTTCCGAGCCTCGAAGATATCACTTTAGTCAAAATCGCTATGATTAGTGCCACTGCCTCTCAGAGATGGTCCTCATCTCGTCAGATTTCTTTGGTGGTAGACTATATCTGTTTATTTTAGTTGAAACGGTCAGTTTCTGTGTTTAAGGGATGATTGTCTGGTTTCATTGAAACTGGCATACTGGTATTCATTTCCTCCTGCACACATATCTTTTCGTTTTTCCTCCTTCCCGTTACTTCTAAATGGTATAGGGAGCAGGAACTCTCTTGAAAATTGTTGTTGTCGTTGTTGTACTCCGATCCCTTTTCCGGTCTCTTCCACCCTGATTCTTCTATGTAGTGAGACTAGCTGTTGTGTTGAAGATCATCTGAATGGCTTTCGATCATATTGATCTGACAGTTCAATCGATGAGCCACGTGTATTATGTTTTGCCGCTATCACACCAGAATCGCGAACTTTATGAACCGTGTCGTTGAGTCTATTGAATTCACTTATTAGAAATATCCTGTATTTTTATAGGTTAGCAATCATGTTTATGGGAAAAGTGCTCTGCCGTGTGACTCCACGTCAATTGATGGCGTCGCGATTGATCGCCAGCTCGATGCTCCGCCGTGACGTCAAGACACCGATTCAGGAATGGGGATGGACGTACCTTCAGCGTCAGAAGGCCCTTGGACGACCTATTGCGCCACATCTCACAGTTTATAAGCCTCAACTCACTTGGATGGTTAGTACTGCAGTTTTGAATTTGCCCAAGCAAAGCACGCAGCACGCAGATTAGGTCTTTCTGATGGACACCGCTCAGAAAGTCAGTAGAAATCACGTACTTTATAAATGTATACGGCAGTGATCCTCTATTACTTTTTCTTGGCAGAAGTGCGTTGTTTTCGTTTTCCTTTTTTGACTCTTCGAAATTACTGACAGGCTGCTCAACAACTTTTTTCTGTTTCACTGCATTTTACTGGCCAAATTTCAGGTTTCTGGCTTCCACCGTGTAACGGGATGTGCAATGGCTGGTACGCTGCTCATAGGAGGTGTGTACTTATAAGGTTTTTATACATAGCTGTAAATCATTGAGTTCTTCCTTCCAGGGGTCGGTTTCGCTTTGGCGCCGTTCAACTTCACACAGTTTGTCGACTACATCCGGAGTTGGCATATTCCACCAGTGGTCACCTCGGTTTTCAAGGTTGTTTTTTGTCAATTCCTTTACACCATACCTTTACACTGAAATAAATCAAATAACAAAGTCCGCGCACTTTTTGCTTCGGCTCATTGTTTTTGAATGATTTTAGTTTGTCATCGCATTCCCCATTGTTTTCCATACACTGAATGGAATCCGTTTCATCGGCTTTGTAGAAAGCTACCCTATATGTCGCAAATTTGATAGCGCAAGCTCGGAGCAACAAATTTTTAGAAGATATTCTTTCTATTGATAATACATTACTGTTTGCAGATCTACAAGAGCGGCTACTTAGTGCTCGGTTTGTCGTTCATCATCGCGGCAGCAGTTGTGATAAACGCCTGGCCAGTCCACAAGAAAGAAGAATGCCACTAAGATTGTTGCCCTGGCATCACCCTGAATCTTCCTCATTCCTCTTTCCCATTGGTTTTTTATATATCTCATTGTGAACCGCATATTTCTTTCATAGATTTCATGTCTTGTGTGCTTCTTCCTACTCTCGTCTACGAGAAATTAGTCATATTCCCAGTGTAGTAGTCGATTATCGAGTTTCGTCGTCACGTCGTCGGTATCGACCGTATTGTTTGTGTACGTGTATTAGAGAGGAAAATAAATATTATAGGTCATGGTTGAAACTCCACAAGATGCTCCCGATTTCGAAAACCCTAGACTTGATGTTGAGGGATTTGTGGTAAGCTAGGCTTTGTGGGTATTTCATGATACCTGAAATATACGTAAACACTATAACTATGTTGAAGGTCGATTATCTCGCATGGCGAATCAAACAAGATGGATTGGAATGGTTTGAGCAACCAGCGTTGCCGTTTGGCACGCAGCCTGAACATGTGATGATGAGGTACATGTTTGCATTTTTGACAACCCGATGTGATTTATTATGACACAGTTGCGCGACTTCTGATCTGCAATAGCAAAATGGCTTTTCTAGAGACCGCCGTTCACATTGGGATGTGCCATGCATTTGTTTTCAAAATATTGTGGTGTTTCAGCGTTGATTCTTTGCATTGTGCACAGATACAATTTGGGCCTACTGTAGACGTTTGAATTTGGACCAGGCGTACGAGGGCACTGTCTTCTGACAATTTTCATTAATTTGACATGAAATTATTCGCACCAAATTTAAAGTGGGTATTTTCATTGCAGTAGCTGCAAATTTGACTTCTACTGAATAGGTCCATGTGGTAAATGGCGGAGAACTGAATAATAGTAGACCTTAGTCAAGTGGAATCGCTCGATCCTAATGAGAACCTTAGAGTAGATATGCTGAAGTTGCAAGTGATTCACTATCACACCTACACATGTTCCTGAAATCGATTCCCAAAACGGCACTCGCTCAGGCCTTCTATTCCTCCGGGGTCATTCCCTTGGTACCAGGCTCATATCGGATGATGAAAGCTCTGATTGGTGAATACTCTGACCAGTGCAGGCGTTCTATAGACCATATACGCATTCAAAACACCACCACGATTTAGAGTGAGTATGCGGGACACATCTTAAAACGCAATCAATCAGCGCCAAGACTATACTGTTTAAAGCGAACTCTGGCGAACATGAACGATTTTTAGTTTCTTTGAACCGAACCCCTAAAAGGCTATCGTGTATGCTTTTTTGCCACCCTTTCACTGATACTACTAAATTTTTCAGGCAAGTTGCTCATATTTTCGAACGACGACATCGTAATGAGTTGAATGAATTTGCAGATGAACTGCTGGAAAATGAAGATTTGACGTTCAGCCGTTATTGTGAAGTAAGTTTTTTTTCGCTACCTGGCGCAATACCCACGCAAATTAAGGGTGGGAAATTTTGTAGAACTGTTCCCCTACAGGAGGTATTACCATCTACAACCCCCTAACGACTTTTTAATTTCGCCCATTTTATTTTTTATGGTTCTTAAATGGTGCGATTAAGCTTCAAATTGCTATTATCGTTTACTCGTAGATTGTTGACGAATTCGGCCGGACCGCGGATGAATTGGAAAATGGAATGTCGTACGGGCGATTAGTAAGTGTTGACTTTTTTAGTGCTCCCACGGTTTTTGTGTAAATGCATAGCTTTAGGTTGGCTTGATATCTTTTGGTGGATTGGTGGCGGCGAGGATGTATGCACGTAATTTCCGACGTGAAGTACGACAGTTAGCAACGTACACTGCCAAGTTCATTGATAAACGAATACGATTGACATGGGTTGAAGACGCGAGAAGTTGGGTGAGTACATTGGCGCAGTGAACTTCAATTCCACAATGCTCTTACGTCTTCTACGTCGAAGCTTCTTGCTCTTACGCCTTTCCGCGACTGAGTCTTCTTTTCCCTTCCTTATGTGTAGTGAAGAACAAGGCAGGCNTTGATAAACGAATACGATTGACATGGGTTGAAGACGCGAGAAGTTGGGTGAGTACATTGGCGCAGTGAACTTCAAACCCACGTCTTCTACGTCGAAACTTCTTGCTCTTACGCCTTTCCGCGACTGAGTCTTCTTTTCCCTTCCTTATGTGTAGTGAAGAACAAGGCAGGCGCTTAGCTAGTTTTTATCTGATAGGGTTGGTAGTCGGGCTATCCATAGATTTTTTCTAGCGGTAATGCACGTTACAATTAATGGACCCCCCGTTAAAACGCACGTTGAAGATGATTGCAATGTTCTGTGATTGCTGCATCGATCGATCGACTAGTATTACGAAGGGGTGGAAGGATGCATGCTAACCGTAGAGCAGAAGAGGGAATGACACAAATGTGACTGTGACTAGATGTGGACTCAGTAAGCGGCGTGCGGCGAAATACGTGGTGATTTAAACGACTCTGGCACCTATCATTGGGGCACAAATTTGAAGTAGGGCAGATAAGTAGCATCAGCTGGCCCACCTTATCCATCTACTTAAGTCTGTGCTCCAATGATAGACGCCAAAGTCGTTTAAATCACCACGAGTTCGACGCACAGTTTGCCGGGTTTCCAGAATTGAGTGAATATACCCATACCCCTCATCGTCTTTTGACAAAAAACTTCATATATGGTGGCGAGGTCTTAGTTTGGCTTTATTAACCTAACTCTTTAATGTTCGCATCATTAGCTAGTGTTTGGCGCATTCCCACGGGAAAGCAATGAGGCCCGCATCTACCCTAGCTATCGAATGACCGTTTGTCAACTTCGTTTTCCTTGTGACCTTGATTTCAACTCTGAGCTTTTTTTTTTGTAAATCATTCCTTTCAGAAGAATTTCATGACGATAGGAGCTGATATTATACGTCGAGACGCATTACAACGTGAAGTGGAGGAACGTCGAAGAGCAAGTCGTCGATGGAGCTTAATAGGAATAGGTGCTGCCGCCCTGGTCGGGGTAGGAGCAATCATTGGCACTCGTATATTATTAGGAGCAAAGTAGGCCTGATGCTCATGACGCTGACTTTCACTTTACATGTATTCCGTTACTGCTTTGTGGGTTCAATCACTGATCTTGAATTTTCTTTTTTTTTTTAATCAGCTTCGTCATTCCTTGATCGATCTAAGCCAATCACGTGTTATCCATGTGTGGCTAATGTTTTCTGTACATATTGCTTTCTTTGTTGAGTAAATACATTTATTTGCATCGTGGAGTTTACAGTTTACCTCAGGATACGGTCGAATATTAAGTGAAGGCGTATTATAAAGCAGTTGATATCCGTTGCTAGATTTGCAGATTTCATCTCACTTGTATGATATTCCTCTAACTTGGTATATAGGAGCGACCACTAAAAAAGACAAATGTAGTGTATTCTAACATAGAGACTCTGACGTCTCCAAGCCCCCTTAGGACAGTAAAAGTATTCCACTGCTAAACAGCTATATCTCGGTGGGAGGAATTACGGTAGAGCAATGGCACCCACTAGGTCACACTTAATCATCTTCAAAAATAGAACTATCTTAATAATGTATAGCCAATTGTCCTAAACTAAAGCAATAGTGCCCAAGATGAAATCAGACAAGGAGCGGCCGGACGAAATGTTTGCTTAACTACATCAGTTACGCTTGACGCCCGTAAATACAGCTTCATACTCACCTGAATGTCTTCTTTTCGAGTTTCACTTCTGGACGGGCACGGTTAAGCACTTTCAAGAAGTCGTTTGTTTTTGAACGCATTCTTGAATGCATGTATACCTCAAATATCTCAATACTTACTCATGATGTGCATATGTATTAAAAGCCAATCACCGCCGATGAAAAAAGAGGAAAAAAAATCAGAAAATTGTGTGGATGTGTGTCAGGTAGAGAGAAAATGCCGAGAATGCTTTTTTATTTCATCAAGATTTTGTCTCGCGTTAGGAAACTGTAGAGTAAAAGAAATCAAAAATACCTTTGAGCACTTGATATGATAATGCAGGTAATCACGGAACGTATGGATCAGATCGATGGTATTGTCGCGTGCTTTCTTGTTGGTGTGTCGTGGAAATAGAACTAAAGAATGGGGAATTAAAAAATAGTAAAACTAGTACAATAATATTGAAGACATCAATAACTACTGTCATAGTGGAGATATGAAATAAAACTTGCGCTAACCGAATGTGATGTATCCAACGTTCTCGCCAACTCGTGCACCTGGTTGATCTCGTAGCTCTAGAGGAGGCTCGCCCAGAGAATAAAGTACTGCTGGAGCAGTTTGGCTAGCCTTTCGTCCTTCACGGAATTCCTGAAAAGATTGTTCTCGATCACCATAAATTGGAAGCAATCGCTACCACATTTAGTAGAAAAAAGGATGTTGAAGCAACCATTTCGCTTTTGACTTCAACGGTATGAATAATCGATTATTTCAATTCAATCGCACGGTTTTCCCTAATTTTGAAGATGCTGTGTTTGAGAAAGGTCATAAAAGTGGGATATTGAGAGATGTGAGAGCCGAGAGAGAGTGAGAAAAAACAGATACTCGTGATATCTTTAAAAGCGCTCAAAATATCAAAAAGTTATGTTACGCAGAAAAGTACGAACACACTTCTTGTGGATAACTGCAGAGTTCCGGAGCAAGAGTTATATCTATAAATAGTGTACATGTGCAATAAAAAGATAATACCTGCAAGAAAACTTTTCCAATAATAACGTCGTCCGGATCTTTGAAAATTGTGCTGAAGATAACCGTAACGCGATCAGCCTTGGCTTCAATATACCTGAAATATACAGAGGAATACTGACTATAGTGGTTACGATTATTCTACTGCTTTTCACATGAGGTGAAATTTTAAAATTGCGATAATAAAAAATAAGCTGACATAGTTTCATCTTCTCTGTAATTGATGACAGCCCTCTTTTGTCCTTCCTGACCAGCTTCTTGGAACTCGAAGTACTTCTCGAAAACCGAAGCGAAACAGTTTCTCTTCAGTGCAGACGCTTTTTCAACTGAAAATTTTTAAATAAATGGTATTCAAAATGTAATCAGAACAATAAATTTGTAGAAAGTCAGTCAATGAAAGAAACGGCGACTACTCACTGAGGGCACTATGGTCAGCGGGAAGATTCGTGAGATCAAAAATCAGGGACACATTGTATCCGGGTTCTGGAGTAGTCAGATAAGAACCATATTCTCGACGAAGAAGCTGAAACATGAAAAACTCGATTACAAATCAATTATAATTTTGGGAGAAAACACTTACAGCATCTGTACCGTGCTCTTGAAGTTCCTTGAAGAATTTAAGAGAGATGCTCAACTGAAAAAAAAACGCTAATGGTGTACGCTAAGAGCGTAGACGTGAGCACGCACATGACAAGAAGTATATGGAATATGAGGTTAGATTTTCAATAACACCTTTAAAAACCGATTTCAGGGTGATTTTAATTCGAGGCATGGGGATCTGACGAGTTTCTCCTTGAAAATGTATACTTAAGGTCAAAATTAATGAAACTAATACCCGGCACGTATAAATCACAAAAACGAATATCAATAAGTGCTAAAAAGCCCAGAAAAGCCCCGTGCTTTTCATTTTTTCAAGAAATCAGTAAATAAAGGGAATTCAATGGCTCGATTATACTGTGTCATATCAATCACAGTTGGTCGCATTCAATTAAACATTTAATTCGATCTAAGATCGGAAGATTTAAGAAGAACGTACTCGAATCTTCGTCTTATCTCCGTCCGGGTTTGAAGCGTGGTATACGACACCATCAAAATCAGCGAACTTAGCATCCACATTATCCGGTTTTCCCCTAAGAAAAGAAATATGAACACAGGTGGACGTGATAGCCACAAAGAGAGAGACTAGCACTGATATAAAGCACATAAAAATTCAAATCAAGAAACTTGACTCCAACATAAAAACAACTAGGCTTACCCTTCCTTTGCATTGGTGAACTTCAGATCCAATAACTCGCTAATAATTCGGTTGTTCTGCTCAAGTAGAATCATATTTACGTACCCAAAGCCTAAAGGAAATTGACTGAGTTAAGCCAAACACCCGAATACTGCAAAAGCTAATAAATGAGAAATGCAAGACTTTTCAGAAAATTTTATTTGCAGCAGAGATTACCGAGACGATGACGTCAGCCGTTTTGGTGCATTTTCACGTGTATGTACGCTCTTGACGCCTAATGTTCTAATTCGAATTCTATTTAGTTTTTTTTCGTAACAAGTTATTCCTTCCAGAATCTCTTGAGTCTTCAGTGACAATCATAATCTTAGAAACCCAATCCCAATAAGTATTAAGGTCTCTATCTCATTGCTAGCCTCGTAATTTCAATGATTTTACGGTTTCAGAATGCCGGAGTACCATCCCGGTCATGGTCATCGCGAACGGGATGCGGGTGATCCACGGAGTCGCTTTAAATTTATGCGACCAGGTCAGTACTATTCCAGAGGACATTTTATAAAGGCAATAGAGGATGTATGAGAATAAGGCCAACTTGGAGATAGCGGCGTATAGTCGATTGCCGATTATTCCGATATGGAGAGTAGCTCTTATTGCTGCCTCAGTAGTAATTCTACCGTTCCTAATCTTTTCGGTTTTTTGGGATGCGCCTTCGAATTCGGCTCCTTCTAGTATCGTGGTGGTGGTTTGAATAAATGTGTGATCTGTACAGTGGCCTATACTAGCGATAGTGAGCCCATGTGCAAGTCAGTGCTTTCAATCTCCCAAACTAGTACAGTGAATAGTTAATTCTGAAAGACTTGATTGTCTTGAAGGAGTATCGACCCGAGATCGGAACCGCGGACCATACTTGTGTGGTAGTCTACACCAACAGCGGTAGAACAAAGGACAAATTCTTGGGGCTTTAATCAATCTCGTCTGAGGGGTGCGCCCACGCATTCTAATTCCATTCAGAATTGTAGTCACGAATAATGCGTATGTTGTCTATACAATGACTTGCGGTGGCCAGCTGATGTACGAATCAGTGCTTTTATACTCCTAGACAAGCTCCATAGCACTCAATCGACCCCTGAGGGTTGGAACTTTGGGTGGCCTAGGAAGTATCGACTCGGAGTTCGATCCGCGAACCATGATGTGTGATAGTGCGCCCCTTGCCACTACACCAACAGCGGTACGATGTCGAATACAAATGTTTCATTCTAGATGATCGGCCGGACAAGGTGCGAACCGGTCCGTTGGTGTTCGAGGATCGCATTACGGAGCCATCGGGATCCACTGACCCTCAGGAAGTGCTTACCGTATATAACAATCCGTATGCCTCGTTAAATATGAAGCAACAACGAGCTCGGCTTCCAATTTTTAAGGTGAGGCCTCACTATTCTTATCAACTGTTTTTCAACTAACAGTGGTCCGATACTCTATACTGAAGAGGACCTGGCCAAACTACCTACACACTAATAGTCTGCCTGAAGTATAATAGCATACATAAAGATATTTAGTAGAACACCCTTCGGAATATTCATTCCCGAATGGGATACGATTGTGTATTACACTATCAAACGGGAGAGGACAGAGCTGCTTTGGTGATGTTTATCTTCATAATTCAGAACCGAGATCACATCCTCTACCTGTGCGAGAAGTATCGTTCTGTCATCATTGTGGGTGAGACTGGTTGCGGTAAAAGTACACAGGTAACTCATTCTTACTACTTAAGCTATGTAGTGAACTCAATCCTAAACGGATTAGACGCCAGTTCCTTTGCGGCTTCAGATACACAGGTTACTTTTACAGGTCCCTCAGTACCTTTTTGAAGCAGGATGGGCTAATGACGATACACAGGTTACTTTTACAGGTCCCTCAGCACACTAATAGTCTGCCTGAAGTATAATAGCATACATAAAGATATTTAGTAGAACACCCTTCGGAATATTCATTCCTGAATGGGATACGATTGTGTATTACACTATCAAACGGGTGTGGACAGAACTGTTTCGGTGATGTTTATCTTCATAATTCAGAACCGAGATCACATCCTCTACCTGTGCGAGAAGTATCGTTCTGTCATCATTGTGGGTGAGACTGGTTGCGGTAAAAGTACACAGGTAACTCATTCTTACTACTTAAGCTATGTAGTGAACTCAATCCTAAACGGATTAGACGCCAGTTCCTTTGCGGCTTCAGATACACAGGTTACTTTTACAGGTCCCTCAGTACCTTTTTGAAGCAGGATGGGCTAATGATGGGCGAATGATTGGAATCACACAACCACGAAGAGTAGCGGTTGTTACGGTAATTTCGGTTTTCATAGTGTGATCATATTTATATGTATTACAGCTGCTTACTTACCGTTTTGTTTCTACTCGTTGATTTATATTTCTAACTAGCTGGCAGTGAGAAATGGTTATTGGCTCATTCCTGAAAGTCAATTTTCAGCTTGCTTCACGAGTTGCTGAAGAGAAAGAGACCATTTTGGGACAAGACGTGGGCTATACAGTTCGCTTTGATGATGTCACTGATGATCAAACAAAGATCAAGGTACTTTAGTTCTATATCGTCGTCGATTTTATGGACCATTTTCTCTAGTTCCATTTTCCAAATTCGATTTTTTGGGCGCTTTGAGAATAAGGTCTTCAAGAAACTGCTAATCTAAACTGAAACTGCTAATGTCCTTCGAGGAGTGCATTGAAAAGTCAAGATTCGCCATTTTACAACTGTGGTTTTCCTTTTTTTTGTTTGTTGTTCTCATTCAGAGTGATTTCAGTTTATGACAGATGGAATTCTATTGAGAGAATTGCTGACAGATCCTCTGCTTTCCAAGTATAGGTCAGTTATTAACACTTGCATCTGCTACTCGCAGTCAGGTAGAAACTGCCTTTTCAGTGTTATAATGATTGATGAAGCTCATGAACGAACGTGTAATTCTGATATTCTTCTTGGTCTACTTCGGAAGGTGCTTATTGTTCGGCCTGATCTACGCATCATAGTGTCGTCAGCCACGCTGGATGCCGAGGTAGGTCTCAACTTAATACCTTCCTCTCATCAAGTTCCACTGTTATTTCGCTTTCAGTTGTTTCGAGATTTTTTCGAACTGAACGAGAGTGATGATCATAATCTCGATACTTCATGTATAATGTCCGTTGAAGGACGAACACATCCAGTAACGATCTATCATACGAAGACGTGAGTGGTTCAATTGTTTTCCACAACTTAACATTTTATTGGTTTTTGTACCTAATCGGATTTCATCTCCTAAACTTCCACCTATTGTAATCCTGTTTAATGACAAAGAATGATTTCTTACGACAAAATTCTTTGGTGAAATTGTCTCTATTTTATGTGCCTTGTGTTCCTTTCAGATCTGTGCCGAACTACATCAAAGCTACAGTGGATACTGTGTTGGATATTCATAAGAATGAAATTCCTGGCGATATTCTTGTATTTCTAACGGGTCAAGATGAAGTTATAGAGGTAAGAAAGATTAAGACGGTGGCAATGAGTGGTGTATTAGGACGTGATAACGAAAATTGTCTTCGGGTTCAGTAAGCTCTGAGAGGATTATTTGTTATTTGCTCTGTTGTAAAGTTGCGGGCGGGAAACATACTGAGCGTCCCCGATACAAATATAAATCCTGTAATTTTCTTTCGGTCTTTCTTGGCAAACGCAATGCAAAAACGTAAGTTCAACACCTCAGTTGATCAAAACGCTCTTGCCAAGTACATTTCTGCTATTGTGCTAAATTAGCATGGATGCTTACTGTGAGATATGATAAATGAATTACTTGCAAAGCTGAATAGCAATTTGAGCCTGTGTTTGGCTATGACACATATGTAAATCTGATCATGTAAAGCTCTTCATGGTCTCTTGGGCTTCATCGCACGGATCTCTTACCATTAGGATTGCCCATTGTTATCTGAAAGCTTGGACGAGATGCATGGAATTTGATCCAGTACCTCATTCATTACAGTACGAATAGGGATCTGTCATCTTTAATTACCATATCTTCATCTCAAGAAATTGTATTTTTAGGTGTGTGAAATGTTATCAGACGCATCCTCAAATTTGCGTAATGTTGATAAGTTATGGATCGTGCCTTGCTATGGTGCTCTACCTCCACGAGACCAGGTTGGCTTTAGCTGCCATGCCAACTAGTAGAATCGACCAATTGATGGTTCTGCCATTCCAACTTTTATTTCAGTTAAAAGCATTTGATTCAACACCGCACGGCACTCGTAAGGTCGTTGTTGCTACAAATATTGCCGAAGCTTCAGTCACTATTCCAGGAGTAGCATACGGTATGTATGTGTGAGTACTGGATCAAATATTTGTAGGATAGGTGCTCGAATAGCTAGTATTGTTTCGTAGATGCGCATGGCTCAATGTCGGAGAGGAAGGAAATGAATGCAGTTTTGCTAAAAAGGGAAACTTTGATAGTTGTTAGGTGAAGATATAAACGCCAACTTAGTTCTTCCGTTAGTTACAGTTGTTGGTTCTCGAGGTGGAGGGTTGTGAGGTGGAATAATTCGGAGAATCATGCTCTCTCTTACTGAAAAGTCAAAAGAATCACCTTCCAGTTGTGGACTGTGGCTTCGTCAAGTTGCGAGCAATGAATCCAGATAATGGTATTGAAACTTTGATGCGGCTGCCGATATCAAAGTCATCAGCTGAACAGAGAGCTGGACGAGCTGGCAGAATACGTCCTGGCAAGGCATATCGGCTTTATCCAGGTGAAACATTCTCATTTTTATGTTATATTGAAGTACGGCTTCTTGTGTTTTACGAGTAGCTGCCAATCAAGAAAAAAGTTTTTTTGTTCCCAATTGTCAGTCACTCTTATGTGACCGGCTATTGGCTACCAGTGGGGAGACCATGGAGACGCTGACACAATAGTGATTTTACCAGAAGAACTGAACTACATTTCAAATCACTGCTTAATGCTTCCCTCGTTTCAGATTGTCTTTCCTCACTAGTGTTCCCAATAATCTAGTCTTTCAGAGTCTCAATACGAGAAATTGGGCGATAGCACGATACCTGAAATTCAACGTTGCCACCTCGCCCCAGTGATTCTACAGTTGAAAGCTCTTGGAATTCAGAACGTCCACAGATTTCATTACTTATCTGTAAGTGGAAATAAGTCAGCGCTTTAAAACGTTTCCTTCGATTTATGAACTATTGTAAGACTTTGTGAAGTTCTATGGTCAAACAGCTTTTCATAATTTGTTCCTGTCTTGTGCGAAAAATTCTTGGTGCCCCTTACTGATTGTTGGTTGCAACCGGTCATAAGCTTTCTAGAATAGTTGTCCTTCCCAAAAAGCCTATGATGTATGGTCTAAGATTCATACTGGTATTTGACCTTGTCTTCTACCCATGTCTTCATTTTGCAGAGACCACCCTCATGGTCAGTCATCAATGCGCTTGAACTACTGTATGCTCTGGGTGCTTTGGATGAGAAGTGAGGGCTCAGCCTGTTTTGTAATTCCTCTTTCCCTCTAGTATTTGTTTGTTGAGAAGACAAACACATTATTTGTTCTAAGCCAATGCCTTCATATTTAGGTGTATGCTCACTAATCCGCTGGGTCTTCGAATGTCCGAGTTTCCTTTGCCACCGATGCACAGCAAGTGCTTGTTGACTTCAGGTATGCCTAAATGCTCCAATGCTCAGTTTTCAGTGTTGCTTTGATATCCCTGAGTGNTCGACTTTTCCGTAGTGCTGCCTTTTATTAAGGCGACTTTGGATGTAGCGAAGAAATCGCAACCATTATTGCAATGTTACAAGTGCAGGATGTCTTTCTAACACCTACGAGGAATAGGCATAGATCCGTAAGTTGTTTGACGTTACCAGAATGTGTTGTTTGATATGGAAGCGGAGTGTGTAGTTGGTTAACTTTCCAAGCGCAAGAATCCACTGCATCTGTCTATGCTCCATTCGCACTTCTTTCGAAGAATCTAAGCCATCTGTCGTCAACGGGTCGCTTATAGCATGCTGAACTGGGCGTTGAAAGCTCGCAGCTATGAAAATGTCGGCTCCACGTTTTCTCTTCGCTGCCTAGAAAATTCTTGCGATCAATTATAGAATTGATTCAAACTGCTCAATCATTTGAACGGCTTTTGAGGATATGCAGATGTTTTGTTTCTTAGCTAGTTTCAACCGAAATTACGGTATTTGTTGTATAACCCGATGGTTTTGATTGTTTACCCTTACAGGAAGAAATAAAGCGTCGATTTGCCGCTGAAGAAGGTGATCATATTGCATATTTGAATATGTATACGATGTTCGTTAAGGTTAGTTTTTCGTGGAATCCTATACCTGAATGTGGGGTTTCATGAACCTCTCTTGTAATTGGCTTATCTCTTGAAGAACAACAAAAGTAAGAAATGGTGCGGCGATCACTTCTTGAACTATCGTGGGCTATGTCGGGCAGAGAATGTCCGAGCGCAGTTGTTGAGGCTGTTACGGAGATTTGAGGTGCCACTGGTATCAGTGCGAGGAGAGACCGGTAAGAGGTCTGGTTATCTGTGATGTTCTGTTTTTCTCAATCTTCACACTTCAGACGCCGCAACAAAGATAATCCGATGCCTCGTGTCCGGCTTCTTCTCTCAAGCAGCCAGATATCATTACACGGGCAAGTATGTAACGGTGAAAGAGGAATTTCCGTTCAATGTCTATAAGGGATCTGTGATCATGTACAAGAAGGACTACCCAAAGTGGTGAGTTACTTTTGGCTTGACCGCTGTCAACAATGACGAGCGTTTTGGAATCTTCTTTGAGCATTTTTCAGGGTTATTTTCACTGAGGCGATGCAGGATTCAATTAGAGATATCTCAGTGATTGAACCCCACTGGTTGTACGAACTCGCTCCGCACTACTATGAGTTTGGCACGGTGAGGATTGCTGAGGATATTTTGAATGGAATTTCGATGTCGACTTTTTTATTGAATTCGTAGAAACTTGGCTCTAAGCAGGTTGACCATATTTAAAAATATATAGGGAGTACAAATTTATTTTTGCGTCGTCGACATGCACAAGAAATGTATTAGGTTTTAAGGGTATCCGGTAACAGACGGTGTCCTCCCGTATTGATGTGTATTTCTGATTTCAGGATAACGAAGTGGCCAGAAAGCGAGCAAGAGGAAATTGACTACGTTGTTATTGTACAAATGTATGCCATAATAAATTTATTACAAGAACTTCTTTTCGTTTTAAAATTTTTTCGAGGTTCTTCTGGGAAGCGTAAAAGATACGCCTCAATCCTGAGGGACGTTTCACAGGCACTTGTTTTGGGTACTTGCAATGATTTTAGAAATGTTAAGCAGTGGGTAGAGGCGGTACAAATTTAGATTCATCGTGAGACCACGAGCAATCATCCACCGTGAAATGGGAATGGAGTTTCTGCCGTATAGACGTTACCTTTACTCTCGAAGATATATAAAGGTGAGCTGTCATCTTCCTGTCGTCCCACTGTCTTTGCTTTGTTGATAACTTTATTTGGAAGCAAAAATTTTGTACATTTAAAGCGAAGGCATTTGAGGTAAAAGATCTATGTATATCTGTACGATATTTAAAAGTAATGTGTACAGATGGGTATACTGTAGGTACGAATCAAATATTAATCAGTTTTTTTCTGGTAAATATACCTCAGATTAAGGCAGTTTGATAAATATGTCGCAGTTGGCATCGTCGAATTGTCCCGCATTTTCAGAAAAACGGTGACATCAGTTTGGTAGTTACCTATTGCTTCATATAGGCCAATCCTATGAAAGGCTTACAGCCGAACTATCAATATGGCCGTTATTTTGGTGGGTATGGATCCAATTTTTTAGATGATCCATATGAGCTCATAGGAGATGATGATCGTGGTGAAGCTAGCATACGGCAGTCTTGTAATCGGCTGTCCAATTCGGCAAGTAAACGCTTCATTTCGGTGGTGTGCACGTGGCGGACCTAAAGACACAGTAATTAATCGAATCGATATCGAACTAGGGATAAAGCATGGGTAGATCATACCTGTCTTGGTGTGTACATATATGGGGCGACAAGTCCTCGTGGAGCACCTCGTGGAGTCTGAATGAGAATTATTCTTTTCCAAGTCAATATCATGGGAGCAGACACCAAAAAAAAAAGAGTCATTGTTCTGCATCTCTGCCATCAATGTTGTATGCATGGACTTCTTACTACCTTGCCGGTTGCTATGAATGTCCAACGACGACTCGGATCAAAATCCACAGGGAATCTGAACGGTGAAGTTGAAGGAGCAGATCTTGCCGACATACCGGTATTCCGACTTGAGACCGTCGATAGCGATGTCGAGCTGAATCCCGAAATCGATTAGAGCTGGGCATTTTTCTTTTCGACAAGTACCTATATGGCATAGAAACAGTGCTCATCGTCTTACTG